CAGTGAGTGAATGAGACAGTGAGTGTGAGTGTGAGTGAGGCAGTGAGAGTGAGTCACTGAGTGAGGCAGTGAGAGAGTGTGTGTGCGGCAGTGAGTGAGTGAGACAGTGAGAGTCAGTGAGTGAGTGTGAGTGAGTGAGGCATGGCATAAATGAGACAGTGAGAGTGAATGAGACAGTGAGCGAGTGAGGCAGTGAGAGAGTGAGACAGTGAGGCAGTGAGACAGTGAGAGTGAGAGCGAGTCAATGAGTGAGGCAGTGAGTGTGTGTGTACGGCAGTGAGTGAGTGAGGCACTGAGAGTGTGAGGCAGTGAGTGAGTCTTCAGTTTTAATATATAAGAATGTGGCAAAAAGGAGATATTTTAGAAAAATAAGGAAAGAAGAAACGTAGCTGGTTTATTTCCTCAATCTTATTGTAAAATCAACACAGGGTTTTATGCTATTTGTCTAAAAAATTAAATTTTTTGAATAAAGTTTTTCTCTTTCTTTCTTTTAGATAGGAGAGAGCGTGAATGCAGTCCCCCACTTCCACAAATTATGCAGTCGAGTTTCCCACATTTGGGGAAATCACAGGGGTCAGCACATCTGGAGTGCAATGGATAAGCCTTGCCCTGGGAAAACCACCTTCGTGATCATGCTATCTCCCCTGCCAGTTAAGTATGAATAAACTTCTAAAAAATGCAAATGCTATACACAGTTCGTATACAGAGTACTGTGATAAATAACTTAAAAATGAAACTATTATCTTTAAATCTAAGGGGAATTAGAAACGACTGCATATCACATCACACAATTCTGTCCATGTGTTGAAAGCAATACAAAGCACTAGTTCAAAGGCATTTTTTAATGTGAAGGAAATTTACCATTGGGCATTCTTTCATCTGATGCTCTTCCGAACCACAATTGAAACAGTGAGGCTTTGGCCTATTTGGTCAAAAGACAAAGATTTTCCAAAAGTGAATCAATAAAATTTTGGACAACAGTAACTTTTATCAGAGAGCAAGTACATCACAGATTACTAAGCTCTGCAATAATAATGTGCACTTTAAAAACATACACCTCATGTCCTTCATAGCACATACAGAGTTTTAAACCAAGAACCATACGGTTTCTGATGGAATCTGTTACCTCGGTTTTTACAATGATTAATAAGAATTGAGGCAAACAAATGGTCAGAGTTCCTTCAGGTAACACAGAAAGAGGGCAGATGTTTATAAGACAGCAATGAAATTGATGGCAACAATTATACCTTTCCGCCCACCCAGGCTCATTAAACTCAAATAAATGAATTCTAATAAACTCAGGATTGATTTTTACATATACAACAAATTCTACCTTAGCCTGCAATTTACTTGACAGAAAGCCAGGCATAAAGAATATTTACTTTTCAAGTTTAAAGGCTTAGTGGTTTTGGCTCAAAAAAAGTAAAACAAAAAGAAAAAACCAAAACAGAACTCCCACACAAACCTTTTTGCCTTTACTTGTATCTCTTGCCCTTCTAGAGAAACAATTTGGCTGAAGACTTGCTGGTACCTTTAGTGAATTTTATTAAGGAATAGTTATCAAAGGCTGTAAAATTTGGTAAAACTGTTTTAATAAAGGTGAACTGAATGGCGAGGTGCACAGAGGTCTTCATTCACTATGTAGGATACTTGGGTATCTCCCATCCTTCCGTAAGCTGAGGGTTTTCATTTAGTAGCGGTTGCCCCAATTTATCAAGGCAAAAATTAGAAAAATACAGCACACTTCCTACAACCTGCAGAAAACAAGTCAGAAGACACTGCTATTTAAGCAAGAAAACAGACAATGGATAATGTAAGAGTATGATTAATTTCCTTTAACAATTAATTTCTGGATGATGTTATTAGAAATAATAACCAACTCCAAAATTACGTGAGCCAGTTTTTATTTCCTTATGTGCATCTCCTGTAAGTTCCCTCCTTCCTATATCCTTGTGCTTTCCTTTGCTGCCGGAGCACCAGTTACTAGCCAGGCTATATATACTCTCTTCAGACTTAAAAGAACAAACAAAACAAAAAAGGAAAACCTTGACATTTCCCTGCAATTTCTATGCACCCCTTTCCAGCAAGACCTGGAGGAACGCTCTCTGTATCTGACCTTTCCATTTCCTTTCCTCCCATTCCTCGATCTTTGACTCCCCGCCACCCCTGACACTATTTGGTGGGAATGTCAAACAGCAAACTTGAAAGAATGGTATAATGAGCATCTATAATGAACATCCTATACCCTCCGCCCAGGTGCAACCATTGCTAAGGGCTTGCCACATTTCTTGGGGGGCCACACCTCTCTCCCTCCTCGCTCATACACATTTTTTACTGAGCCACTTGGAAACTATAGACATCAGTACACTTCACCCTTAAATACTGTGTCTTCTAAGAATATTCTTTATAAACCACAATTGAGCACGATCATACAAAGAAAATGAAAGTTCTCCAATGTCAGTGAATATTCAATTCATAATCAGTTTTCCCAGTTGTCCCCTAAAGCCCCATTCATAACTTTTCTCCCTCAAACCAGGATTTGGTCAAGGTTCACACATCGCCATTAGTTGTTCCATTTTTTGGTTGTTCTTCCACTAGAATAGTTTCCCTGACCTTTACAAAATGACACTGCCACTCATTCTTGAACATCTCTAGGAAGACTTTTTGCTCTATGTAAGGTACCATTCCCTGGGTTCCCTTCCTGCCTGGCTGACCACTTTCTCAGTCTCCTTTCCTAGAACATTCTAAACACTGGCATACCCTAGGGTCAGTTCTCTCACTCCCTAGGTGCCATATTGAAACCCACGAAATGAAACTAATTCATGTACCAATAATCCCTTACTGTCCAATCCTGACCCAGCCATAGCTCCAATCACGTGTACCCAAGGACTGATTTGACAGATCTCTGTGGATGTCTTACAAACACTCAAACTCACAGATTAACAACCCACTGGCTGCCCATCTCCAAAGCCGCTCCTCCGCCAGCCTTCCCATCACAGGAACAGGCAACTCCGATCTTCTGGGTGTTCATACCAGACACGAGAGCCATTCTAACCACTCTCTCTCTCTCAGATAGTCTACTTCAATTCTTCACAAATTTTATGAACTGTACTTTCAGAGTCGAAACAACTTCTAATCCCGCTACCAGTGGGAATCGACTTGACGGCAGTGACTATTTGAAAGGATGATTTATCCCCACTCAGCTTCTTTTAGTTTTTCCCGCTCTTCTCATCTGTTCAAATATTTGCCTTCCAAACCTGCCATCTGTTCTAAGACCTGGTTATCCCTCAACTTCATGCCACTTGTAAATTCAGCAAGCCTGCTTTCTCTATCTTCTTCATCGTGTCCTTGAAAACAAGTGCAATGAGGTCAGAAAAAAAACCAATGTCTACTAAGTATGTCTACTGAGACCCGCCCCCTGCCCCCCAGTAAAGACTTCAAGAGTAAGTAAAAAGCTATAAGATGAAGAGTCTGAAGGCCAGGCTGATGTTACAATAAGGTTAACAAAAGAACATGACTGCGTAAGACACCTGGACTGTACTATTTAACTATTCCACTTTATTATTTAAATACCTTGCGAGGGAAAACAGAGATCTGCAAAACCCAAAACCAAAATGCCACACTTACACTAAAAGGCTCCTTGCTGTTCTTAATGACACAGGCTTCTTCTTCTACTTTATGGTCCTCTTCCAGCACAACACTGGATGGCTAGTAGAAAAAAAACGTACCACACATTACATCAAGGGTAAATGGAATGGAACACACTTGTTTTTATTTTATAACAGATAGCAAAGACATATACAATATTTTTTGATTCACTGCTGTCATAATCAGAGTCAGTTGGTTAAACTAGGAATGTCTACAAGAAATCTCACAAGTGTGGCATCTTCTGAAATATTGGCACACACCAGGGCCTACTGTTCATGAACATTCACCATGGAAGCCCCAGCATCTAACTGGCCAGAGACTTATCTTGAAATCATAGAATCAGAATGATTAAAAAACAATAATTTTATATTACTGTTCAATTGGGTCAGCTTTAGCTCGTGGTTACTTTGTGATTTGAACCAATCATTTCATATTACTGTTCAATACTGATGTTCAAAACAACCCTTAAGGCTCCACAATATTCTGAAGTGTTCTTTGAATCAAAAATTGATATTCACTATGGTTATATGGTTAAATATATTTTGTTCCTTCATTCTCTAAAACTTGTATTTTATTGATTAAAAATTAAAAGTGATGAGCAGAAAGTTACATCGGAACGCTTCAATTACAAGCCCTGAGGACCCAGAGTTTTACATTCATTCTTTTAAAAAAACTTTTTTTTTTACATTCTTTCTTTTAGGCTATTTCAGACTACTTACCATCAGACTACTTATTTATAATGTTAAAAATAACATACCCATTTTATTACCGAAAGCATATCAGCTTTACATAAAAGAATCAGACATTTTTATAAATATTTACAAATTTCAGAAATATATTTTTGTTTTCCTGTTTTGAAATTAATTTTATACCTCAAAACTATGTGCTCAAGCTTTAGTTTTGAGTGTACCGAGTCTGCATAAAACTCCCCTGGCCATAGGACCCATAGATCAAACAAAGTCAGAGAGCTGTATTAGCCAGACTGAGACCATAAATAAGGAAGCCACTTCAAGGTCAGGAAGTGGACAATTTAACAAACATTCTGGTTTTGATTCCTGTGGCCTCATTCCTGCCAGTGAGAAGAGAATAACCTACTGATCTTAAAGTCTCTTAAGTATTAAATACCTGGGGCAAAAGATTAAAGGAAGTCTTTTCCACATCTTTTTTCTGCTGTTCCTCAAATCTTTTTACTAAATTTGATACAAATTCCTCTATTTCTTGATGATATTGCCTGTGTAAGAGGACAAAACGGTCAGAACCCAAAGGAAAAACATGTAATAGACTGAAGTCTTATGCATACCATCAGAGGTCACGTGTAAATTTCACTTTGTCAGAGGTTTATCAAATCATGGATTCAATGGAATGCTCAGGAACCTACTTCTTAGGAAAAGATATTATCCAGTCAAAGAATTGATTATGACAACCTAGCAAAGTGTCAGACAGAGTTTTAGCCAAATATTTGTTCAAAGACTAGAATGATTTAATTTAAAAATTTTATGAACTTGGTTTGCAAATAGAGAATACATGTCAATAACTGAAACTACAAAAAGATTCTTTCCTTCCTAATTTCTCCTAATCACCTATCTCCACGATATAACCTATGCAGTGAGTCCGTATCTACCTCCCTCCCAAATACTTTATGTATAGAAATACAAGGAAACATCCATACAAAAATTCAAACCAAAAAGAAAGCAAGAAAAAACACAGCAGTCTACTTCCTCTAGTCTGCCTTCGAAAGCCACGATCATGAAATGTTCTTGTTCAATTAAGGCAGCACCAAAGGAGCTCACTGGCCACAATTCCTCGGAATCAGCTCCCCTTTTACAGGTTACGGGAGCTTTCTGGGCTCTTCCAGCCCAGACAGCCTGCAATTTCTGCAGGTGAGGTAGCAGGTGAATGGTGTCCAAATGGGCCTGCCGCAAACCTCGGTGGGGTACAGAAGCCAGCATGGAGAAAGCAGTACAACATCCCCGCTGTGCCCATTGCTTGCTACTGCACTCACCATCCAGTGTCCTCATCTCTCACTCAGGTTCCACTTTTGCTGAGAAACAGCAAGTAATGGGCTAGCGCACAAGTAATACTATGTGAACTAACTGCCATCAAGTCGAATCACTCACAGCAACTCTATAGGACAAGGTAGAAGTGCCCTTGTGGGTTTCCCAGACTGTAATTCTTGACAGAGTAGAAAGCCTCATCCTCACCATTCTGTTCCAATGAAGGAGTCCTGGACGCATAGTGGATTA